ATGATGATGATGATGATGATGATGATGATGATGATGATGATGATGATGATGATGATGATGATGATGATGATGATGATTCATTTATATAGCGCATACAACATTTTCTATGCACTTAACAACTATTAATACCCCAGCACACCCTTGGAAACCCAGGAACATTCTCGGCTTCCCGGGAGCACACAGTTCAAGCTGCAAAATACTCGCGTTAAAACTCTAACAAATGTCGATTGACAAGATCTTTCACTCTTTAACGAACTTTGGAGTAAATAAAAAACCTCCACGTAAGTTCGTTTACATCTGGAACTCGCTCATCAATGTCTTGGCCCTCAAGAGGAATGGAATTAAAAATGAGTGCACTCGTCTAACCCTGCCCTTCGCCCTCCCCTTCTCTCTCCCCTCCTTCCTCCCCTCCTCCACCCCCTCCCCCTCCTCCCTTAAATTCTCCTGTAATCTGACAACCGTAAAGATACTTTGTTCAAATCAAGAAGAAAAGGCCCCTTTATTGATCCAAACCAAGATATTTGTTTTACCACTGACGTGCAAAACGATCAACATAGTATAATTACACCTTTAAACGGTATTATACTTAGCACTTTATCGCTGGCTGCTGCTGTACAAAGGCCCTAAACGTTGCCCTAAGAAACATTTCACGATTGCACGTTTGGGATCTAACGACCATCGAACGAACATAGCACACAAAGGGTAAACAAAGACAAATTCATTGATCCCAGTAGAGGTATTTATTTAGTTATGACTCGCGGGACAATCTATATATAATAGTATGACTGAACTGAACCCCCTAACAGTACACCGCTATCGCTGGTCACCGTGCAGTTTAATGTTTAAACTCGGAGGGTTTTGAGCTGAGGATAATTCGAGCAGACTAGACATACCCCAGTGTCCACCAAGCAAAATGCAGTTACACGCACATCCACATCATGTACCATTTGATAATACACGTATACATTTAAGTATCAATTGTTTTTATTTGCCTAAACGATTCGAATTTCAAGTGCGGGTACTATAAAATTAAATGTCTACACGTTTGAGACGCACACAGTCTATTATATCCAGATTTTTAATTTTGAAAAGCTTATCTCAAATACATATAATTCTAATGTCTCAAGGTGCTTGAAAAAAGCGTTGGCTTACGTCTTATCGCGTGATGGGTGATAAAACCGACTTGTTAACGCAAGCAATAAGGCTTCACAAAAGGAACGTTTAATATAACTGTCATATTAAGTACCGATTAATTTTTATAAAGATTCATACACCATATGAATAGACATTGTATCTCAAGTAAAATTTTCGAAACTTGGAGAGAGTTTGCTAGTCATAAAGTAAGAACACAGCGGTCGGAGACTAATCCCATTACTTCGTCACAAGCACTTCGTATGTTAGCAGACATTAATAACATATTGATACTTATCTTGAACTGTAAACAAAACTGCCATACATCGTAGATATCTATTCATTGTCTATAGACACATTGAAAGATTAACGGTGTCATATTGAAGTAAGAACACATGGTATGATTTAGGTTTAACGTTCATATAAAAACTGCAAGGCAATTTACGAGGCGGGTAAGAGCTCGGAATTCACTGATAAGAATCAAATTACGGTAATGTGAACACATATAAATCTTTTTGAACGAGTGGCGTACAGAGAGATACAAAGGTCTCCGACGGGAGAGCGGTCTAAAGTGGATTCCACTTGAGATAGACAGTATCTTCAAACATTGTAGATCTTCGCGTTATTACGTATTCACGCTTTGTACTCGATAGGGTATTTTACTTTTGTAAAATGGCGGTAATGAAAAGTATGGATCTGGCCGCCCTTTTTAAAGAACTGAATGACGATACATGTACATATTTACACGTAGACAAACAGATCCGAGTACAGACGGCAGTGGCACGTTGCAACCGGCGATCTCTTCAACCTTAAACCAGCGTGCCATTTAGGCTCTTTGGGTTCATCCTGGACCGTGATGCGGATGAGCTCTATTCATTAGGTATTTTTGAACTCCAGATGCTTTGACAGATTCCACCGCTCTTCACTATCTTTGTTTTGGTTCTGTCCTAAACAGACGTAAAACCGAAATGTGTGTGTCTCCGTTTCTTTCCATACAGTAATAACTATAGAAAATACCTCTGTTGAATTCATCAACAATGACGTGTCAAGAAACCTTCTCATGGAATGTCTCACGTAATAGTTTCATTACACAAGAAGTGTATTTACAATCTGTTATTCTTTTATCTTCTACTTTGATAATAAATCATGATGAGGAGGAGGAGGAGGGGGAAGGAGGAGGAGGAGGAGGAGGAAGAGGAAGAAGAAGAAGAAGAAGAAGAAGAAGAAGAAGAAGAAGAAGAAGAAGAAGA